CAGTACCATTGATCAACTTTTCATTTTTTTTAATCTCATTTGCAGGATTTTGAGTACCTTTGTCAGCGTCATTAAATAGTAGATTGGACATACTAGATTGGATATATATATTGGATTGTATATTGGAACATTTTCTACGCAACCCAAATTACATGTACCGTGAATCACTGTTTAACGACAAAACATGCAATGTTGGTATCCCTGTTTCCTCATTGTGGATCAGCTGATGCATTGTTGCATTTTTACAACAATCTAGTGGTACGTGTTTTTGTTTTATACAGTTTCGGTTTCCTATTGTAGACAAGTATATTAATAGTTGATTTTAGGTACTGGAATCAAACTTCGAAATTTTATTTCAAACCTTTCTTGCATAAAGCAAATGATTTACTGAATTTACTGTAATATTCTTCTACAGTCATACTCTTTGAGCTTAGGAAAACACCATGTTGAGTCTTAGTCACAATAAATTTCTAATATCACAAAACCTCGTAGCAACAATGCATATCAGCTGATCGGCACTGAAGTAAAGAAAACAGGGGTACCAAACCAACATTCTAGCTTGCTTTGTCGCTAAACGGTTTCTCGCGGTTCTTGTTATATGGGCCTAAAAACACCATGTGGATCTTCACAACCATCCTGCATTTGATTATCCTACTGCCCTTGCCTCCACGGGGAGAGAACGAAGAAACATTTTGATTCTTCACCGCCTCATCAAATGCAAACTGCTGGATGGTTAAGCGATTGTTCTTGATGTAAATTAATTTTTATCAATGTCCATGTCACAAGGGTTAAGGATAAATGCTCTAACGATGCATTTTTTTCTCAGTTGGAACACATAATGCTCCATCCAAACTCTATGGTTCTTGAGTCACTTAACTATATACACAACATTTGTATGTATCAATTGCTGTGACAAATTTATAAGTAACAATGTTACTCATACATTGTTAAATGTATAACAATGTATGTATACAGTTTAGTTTCTATTTATTATTAACTTTTCCAGGCCCAGTTCTGCATAGCCTTCGTCCACTCCCTCCAGCTGCTGATCTACGACTGTGAATATCCAAGGTTCTCCCTCTTCTTCATCCTTCCTAACGCAATCTTCTTCTACTATCTGTTCAACGACTTTTACAACAAAGCCTATCCAGAGAGAATGCAACAGCTGCGAAAGCAGAAAGAACAAAAAGAGACAAAGGCAGAGTAAATGAATGAATGGTTGTCAGAAGTGGCATGATGTTGAAATGGGGTTTCCTGAGAGTTCAGTGTGAATGAGGAAGTCATACCCAGTTTTCAGGCAATGATTTTAGGTTATATTTTTGTGACGACACCAAGAATCTGTGATTCACGGTAAAAAAGAGGAAACAAACTAATGATAACGACTTCTCAGCCTTGAAAAGGTTTCTTTTCCTTTTTTTTAAATTGCTAGTTTACTGATTCAATGGGGGATTGTGCAATTATTGACAATGGATAGAACCAGACCTAATGAGATCTAGGGATCTTATGAGTGAAACTAATTTTGCAAGATGTAGACTTTTGTTTACATTTAGTGGTTCTTCTTGACCGTGTAGCTAAAAAGTCTGTAGCAGATAAACTGTGGTTGATCTGGACAAACTATGCACAGTACTTGGATAAAAATGGCACAACCTTTACAATAAGAGGTGTGCACTTCTTGGCAGTGTATCTAGAGTCAATGATGCATCCAAGACAACGACCATTAAGGTAATAAGCAGATTTGTCAAACAAAACAAAGTCAACTGGATATCATTAGGTGAGTAGATTGTTGGAGCAATGTCGTTCTGTAAATTGTCAAACTTATTGTTATTCCAAAGACTACAGTTAATTGTAATGCCGTTTTGTTTACTAAAGTTCAATTAAACATGTTTGTACTATATGACGAGCCAAAAATACTACTGAACATCCTAGTATAGTACAAAGACAAAGACTGTTTCTGGGTAGAAATATTTTTTTTATGCAGATTGAATGTGCTAGTGTAAAACACATAGAATAAGAAATGTTTAAACTTGCGTTTTATATAAACACCACGACACAGACTCTATAAAAGAGGACTCGTGTTACATTAAAAAACCGTATAAAAACAAAAAATGCTGTCTTTATAACTTGGTGCATAAGGATTTCAATCTTATACCATGTTTCCAAAGTTGGGTATGGTGAAAAAATGAACATTATAACTAAGGCCTATACAGTACTTTTATTTTTGTGATTTCAAACTTGTTGTGCTGTAGTGTACAATTTTATTGCTCAAAAATTAAATACTTTGTTCAATTTCAGCAATTATTTATTGCGGGTCAAAGTATCAAAATATACTTTTGTACATATTAATCCAAAGCTAGAGTAATAGTATTATTTACAACTGTAATATATATAAATATAAATATATATATATGTATGGATTTGATAGAGCCATTTTAAACACTATTTTTAGTTTCAATTCTGTTTTACAAACAATTGAAGGACCAAAATTATGAAATTAAACCTTCAGCACTCATTTTCTCTCAATTAAAATTATTAAATGGCTCTTAGTACGCAGTTGTGTGTAACATATTTTATACATAGCCAGTGTAATTTGTTAGTTTTAAGTGTAAATTTATAAATAAAATACACGTCATGTAACAATTACTGAAGTTAGTTACTTTCCCACTTTTGTAATAAAGCTTATGTGTAGCTGTTTTATGTGTTTTTTCTAATCCTTCAAATTTTAAAATTCGTTGCAAAGCCTGCACTCTGTAATACTAATATGGGTTTTACTCTACCTTGCAGTAATATTAAATTATAATCAACGTATTACAATAAAAAATTAAATAATAACTAAAAAAAAATAATTTATGTCTTAAACGAGGGGGTCTATTGAGGAATATAACATCACATGTTGGGGACATCAGATAGGCAACTTTTTCGTCAGGCAGATGGACATAAATTCTGAACTTGTACTGTAAAAGAGAGCTTCAAAGGTCAAATAAAGATCCAAAAGTGACCCTTAATTTGGAGAGAGTAAAAACAGAGTAAATTGAGGAGTGTGATAGGGGTGCAAGCTTGCTATTTTTTATCAATGGATCGCAAAATAAATGTCTACATTTGCCAGGGACCGTACAACAAGATGTTGGAAAAAATGCAACACATAGGAAGTAGCCTATTGTAAAATACCAAAAAAATACAATAAAATAAAAGATACATCCTTCTCTAATACAAAGCCGCGGCCTTGGAGTGTGGCAACTTCGCACCGGTACAGAAAAACAGGCCATGCTGCAGGATCCATGACGTCACACTAGTGGATAGGTTGATGGATTTACTACAATATCATCCCATATGTTTCACATAAATAAGCTGGCTGTTTGTCAGATTTTAACGGTAAGATTTTAGCACAACTATCCACCACTGACTGTAACGTAGTGTTGCACTGCCCGTATGGTATTAACAGTAATAACGAATGTATAATTATAAACATTAACATTGCACTGACGCTGAACAATTAATTAGTGCAACGGTTGTTTCGGTAGGCCGGGACCATATGGTGCTGGCCACTGCGGCGGTTTTGCCACTTTTGTCTCCACAGCGGCCTTGTATTAGAGGAGGCCATGAATTTACCCGTTAAAAATGGAAGCTGGATTACTATCAAATCAAACCCTGTAAATAAGAGGGAACAAAACAAATTCTTCTTACTATACTAACAGATTTTAGCCCAAAAAATGAATTGTCCTGCATTCTAGTGGAAATTTAGAGAACAACAACAAAGTTCAGTTCACAGAGAACAATAAAATATCTCACAAATTTTGCAGTCCCGACAAGAGGTACCTTTTCTTATCTTAGAAATAACATAGGACCGACAAGAGGTCCCTTTTCTGAAATGTGATTTTTACGACATGCTTCAATAAAACAATTATTTAAATAAAAACTACCGTGAGTTAAGACATAAATTTGTATTGCTTCCACAAGCTTTCTTTTGATACCAAAATAGTTTCTTAAATACGAAAAACACCGTTTTTATGCGTATTTGTAATTTTCAAATCAGTTTTTCTCAAAATGGCCCTTTTCCAAAACAAAATTTCAAAGTCCTATAACTTTAACAAAACAAATCATACATGCGTGGGACTTACACCAATCGATTTAATAAGGAATTCAAATATATATAATATATAAAATTGTCTCAATGTAACTCGTAGTAAGTTAGGTAGTATAATTTCCAATTTGAAAATGCTGTGGCTTTTCCCCTTTTATGTCCGATAGTACAAATAAGGAGTTGGATATCAAAGCTTTATCCTTGTGAGATAATAATTAGGTTTCCTTTTCCTTGTTTTACTGTAGACCAAGACCAATCAATCAATCATTTAAGATGGGGAAGCCAGTACGTGCTTAGTTTAACCCAAATATGAGTGAAGGATGAGTGTAGGATGAGTGGCGCTATCTTAGTCTTGTTAGTGACTAAGGCCGACATGTTCCTTAGACACAGCTGTTAACTTATAGTCCATACTGCTAATGGCAACCTACAGTTTATGGTGGAATCCAAACCACATTTTTCCTTGTAATTAACGAATTGATCTAATTATTAGGATAGTACCGCGGATAATCATAGTACTCACTAGTGTGGACGTTCACCCACACCAGGGGTATAGCATCAACAATTATATATGAATTAAATATCCACACCGTCAAACATAGCGACGAACACATTTTAAACACAACACGTCTACATTTTCACTGACTATCGTAAATCACGCTTATAAACGTATGTACTTACAAATATAATTGATCGCCTTAGGGTCAAGGGTAAGGCGTGCTCCCCAAATGTGATACTGCGTGTTTAATATATGCTGATTTTACAGTAGCTACGGCTCTGTAATCAATGGTCTCTATGAACATGGGAATCTTTCTTGTTGCGGGGACATTCGGTTTTGATACAACGGCAATGGCAACACTGCAAAAACAAGTAGTTTTTGGCAAGCTTAACCTCAACAACAACAACACAACTGCAACAACACAAAATACATCATCACAAAAATCTCTATCCTCTGCCTCTGAAAACTTCGCAATTACTTTAAGCACATACAATTTAAGTAGTGTTTAAAGTATTGGACATAAAGTTATTATTTTACGACACTTAAAAATATTATATCGAGAGGACATTCTCAGTTAGTTCTTATGGTGTGAAGGTGTGATACTAAAGCCTCTCAAGTGGGTTGAAATTGAAAGGTTGGTAGAGTTCTCTATTCACAGGCCTATCTTAATTAGGTCTCGATTTTATCAGTCAATTCATGGCCCTTATCAGTTATAAGTTACTGAATGTGCATGCTCTTCTTGTTTTGAAGTGCTAGAGTTGTTTCAATCTAGTATTAGCTGAGCTGAGACCTCTGCCAAGTTGAACCTTTCTCCAGGTTACAAATAATTCTGATAATAAACCAGTTGAAAGAGTGTATATTAATGTATGTTTAATAATACTACTGAATTGAACTGATACTTGTTAAAACATGTATTCATCAATGCAAAGATATCAAATGGGAAATTGGCAATGTTTGAATAATCAAAGAAATGGTAAGCCAATCTTTGACATCAAATTGTTAAGCTTATTGTCATTGAACTCTTTTAACTTAGTCAAACTGATCCCTAAAAAAATTAAGTGAGTGAAAACAATTTACTTGCATGTATATTAGTGACTATGCATTGTAGAAGAACTTTGGTAGCAAAAACTTATGGAGATAAGGCCTAAGTTATCAAAACTTAAGCTAGGCCCTAAGACTTGTTATTACGATATGGGCTTCTTACCGAGGTCTTTAATAGCATGATTAGGCCTAGGGGTGCACAATCAAGGGAAAATGGCCTGAAAATGGCATTTGTTATCAAGGGTGAATTGATATTAACAGTCTTGTTTTTGAAGTTCTACTAGTTCTTAAGTTCCTGGTAAGTTAAGTTAAGTTGTTAAGTTTTTAACTGCTCCAGTTTACAGTATTTCCTCCAGTAGACAGTTAGCCTACGGTACTTATTCTCTGTGAACAACATTTTGAAACCTTAGTAGGCTAGTCTGGACCTTTTTGTTACCTACTTCTTGAGATAGGTTAAGTTGATAAAAAAAAGTAACCTAAGAATAACTTAAAGAATTACTTGAAGATGACTTTAGTATCTTCAACTAACAATAGCTCTTTGAATAATTAGCTTAACTTGATTGTATTTGACTCTATTTTACTTATGTATATGTATTCTATGCTACAAACAAATAAAGATGATTTGAATTGAAACAATCTAGCAAAACCTCAAGATTAAGTACCGTATGCTTACATTTTGTTATTGTTTGCAGCTCAAGAGATAATGGAAAACCTTTATACTGCGCTTAGCGCTGTTAAAACTCTGCGATCCAGTGTTGGCCAAGTGTTCAGCAGTCTTTCGAATGGTTTGCGGGCTGATCATGGAGAAGACGGCAAAGAAAATAAGTTTTTGTTGGAACTTCAAGATCTTTTGTCATCTGTTAATAACCACCTTAGGTAGGCCTAAGTAAATAGACATTAACTACTTAGGGCTGAATGTATAAAATAACATATTCTCAAAACAAATGTAGGCCTAGGCCTACATATATTGAATTAAAAAATGTATGGAGACAAATGTTATATAGGACCTAATGCATTTTAAAGGTTCGAACCTTTAAGACCTTAGCAACCTACATTTTCATTCCATTGGCATCATATTAAGGCATAAATAAGGCCCCACTTTATGCTACTTTCATTTTAATAATTGACCTCTGGCTCTTCTGACTTGGGATAAACATCGATAGGTGAACCATTGATAGTCACCATTGATGGGGACATTGATCAACCATCGATTTACCCATAACACTGTAACTAAAACATTAGCCTATTTTTTTCTTTTTGAGTTATTCGTCTGCTTTCTGTCTCAGCTAATTAACCTAGCTTACACTAAAGTACAGTACTTTCTAGTCATTCTAGAGTGGCAGTTTCTCTTTCACATTTGCAAGACTAAAAATAGGTATAGGCATAGGTCCTAATTGATTATGCCGGAGCAGGAGTGCAAATTTATTACAACTGCAGTAGAACCTCTCATATCCGACCATAACAGGACCGGGCCATGGTCGGAACAGCCAAAAGCATGTCTGGAGGAGAATAGCGAGAGCCTACAATCTCTGCGACTTCGGTAATCGTCTCCTGCAACCGTGGCAACAGACGTTAGCATACCTAACATGCAGTTTCCACGACTTCGATAATCGTCTCATGTGACCGCGGCAACACCCATGAGCATAGATAACTTGCAGTCTCTGCGATTACGGCAACATCCGTGATCTGTCCAAGACAGGAAACAAGTAGACTGTCAGACACAAGGATTCGGTTTTTCCGAGGTCCGATATGAGGGGTTCTACTGTGAATTGGTTTTTTGCAACATTTTTACAAGCACCTCAACAATGTAGAGTTATTTCACTCTCAAGCTCTACTCTAGCCCAAGTCTAGTCCAGTCCGTGGTAATAATATTTTTGGATTTGATATTTATCAGCCTTTAATCAATTAGAATAATTTATAGGAAAATTCTGTTGACCAACATTTAATCCAGAAAAAACTTACAATTCAGTTATGGAAAAAACATCCATGTTACAAAAACATCGGTAACCTACCATCAATGTATAAAACAATGCCTTTCGATGTTCATCCCTGCTTCTGACAATTATCTTAACTGTCAAGTAACATGGTTACTTACAATAGGGTCGCTGAGGATTTGAATTTATGCATGATGTTTTTAGTAATGTTAACAGACGAATCTTCTAGGAGACCTGGAAGGTGGTGAACGTGGAATTAAGTTGCCGTTTATTGCCGCTCTAGACTTATAGGTCTTTCGATGCATCCTTAGATCCTTGATGGCTCTAATTTGTAAGGTTTTTAACATGTACCGTAGCTTTGATTTTAAAATAATTTACTTTTTTCAGGGATGTAGAACAAGCAGTGAATGGTCTATCACAACCGCCCGGTCCCTTTAGTCTTGGTAATACCAGCTTCCTCAGCCAGGAATGTACCCATGATCGTCTTGCTTTATACAGCCAACTGGTTCTAAGCTACAAGTGGACAGATAAGGCAAGTGTTTTAGGATATTATATTAGTAGTTATAATTTTTACTATTTTGGTTAAGTTAGTGGTTTTAGTGTTGTTAACACATACACCTACTGTAATTAAACCTACATGTGTTGAGTCTAATACAAAATCTATTAACAAAGATATTTACTGGTAGGCCTAATGTAAAATCAATTTTTTCCGAGACCTATATCAACATCTAAATTAACTTATTTAAAATTTTCCTTTTTCAGCTTCACGAGTACAGCAGTTTGGCCACGCAGTTGTTGAACCAGAACTCTCTGAAGCGATCATACACAGGAGCTAATAGCAGCAAGAGACGACGCACACCCACGAGTGCGCATAACGTTCCTATACAGTAGGTAGCATTCATGAATTTGCCTTTGTGGATTTAATCATGGCAAAGGCTAGATTTTATCATGTACTTAGGCTAATGAGTTCCTTAGTTTTCCATTGGTGTTGTAAATAACCTAGAGTTTTTTTTTTACTTGTGAAACATTTGGACTGCCGGGTTATCAAAAGACGGACTGTACATACTCTGGGTTTAATCAGTTGGTGATTTTGCAGGACATAAATGGATCCGTAAAATTAAAGTAGAACCCTGCTAACCCGACCTCGGCTAGTCTGACTCCTAACATAATCTGACCCTGGCATTGCCTATCGGTGACAATGTTATCGTGGTAATTTCGTGACCATTTTCCGTTGTTAATAATAATAATAATATCACTTTATTGCCATAAAACACATGTTGTATAAGCAATCATCACTGTCTCACGCTATCGCAGCAAAAGATCTTGTTGACCATTGTCATAGTTTTCCTCAATGGTGGTAGAAACCTGAGTATGTTCTGCAGTAATGGCGTCTCCTGTGACCACCCAAATGTTATCGTTATTCCCCGCGATGGTGGCCTAATCTAGGATATCTCCTGCAGTAACAGAAACATTGTCATTGTATACCGTAATCGAGATAAAATATTAAACGCCTCCTGCGGGAAAGGAACATTATCATCCCCTTCCCCAAATGTGGTAAAACCTTTGAAAAATCCTGTGGTCATGAAAATAATTGTCATTGTTTTCGGTGGTCGCAGAATAATATTGAATGTCTACCTAACTTGTAGGGACATCATCATTGTCTCCTGCTGTCACGGAAACTTAATCGTTGTTATCGGCAAACTGCTGAATATCTCCTGCGGTACAGAAACATCATAATCGTCTCCTGTGATCGCAGCTAAATTCTGAAAATGCTGCTCCTCGGCTAATCAATCCTTTTTCATGTTCCAGCCATGGTCCTGGTCCCATGGCCATTTTTTGATGGTCTACTAGGGTTGTACTTTCGATGCAAATAATATCGATTGTTTTGACCCTTAACTTGGAAAAAAATAAAAGGGCCCTCTGGTAAAGTAGTTTTTGTATTGGAAGGTCTCGCCATTTAAATAATGATAATTGTTTCAGAGCTGTGGAAACGCTGATTGCCGCAATCGACCGACAGTACCAGGACATGAACATCAGCATCTGTCGGGAGTTCCGCAACAGTCCCGTGGGGCCGACACAAGTGACTTGTGCTGAGGTGCGGTTGACCCAGCAGAGCATCAGCAGGGACTACCAGGCAATGCATGACAATGGCATACCTCAGGTGGGCTGCAACCTACGTTTTTAACCGTTCTCTTACAGAAATGTCAGTGACACTGGCGTTGATAAATGAATAAATAAACCTACATTGTGAGTGATTTGTCATTTTGTTAATTTAACACGTTGATTGCGGTCTATGTTGTTTAATGTAGCGCAGGACTGGCACGCACGGCAGACTACGTTAAACTATAGTTATTCCTAACTCCAAAGTATAGATCCAGTGTGAGCTCAGCCTCGCACGGGGAATGTTGTTTCCCTTGCCGCTTGTTGTGGCAGTTTAATACTTCAATCCTGTATAATCCGTTTTTAGATCCGACAATTTCATCGGTGGTGGGGACTGTCTCAAATTTAGTGTAGTGTGGGGTTTTGTCTTGGATTTAGTGAAATTGAATATATAATAACGGTAATTAAATTATTGTAGTGAAGAAATGTGGAAGGAACCTAACCTTAAAATTGTGCTTGACGCTTATTTTGTAGTATTTTTGATGGTGTAGACCTATCTGAGTATTTCGCACCGTAGTGGTTTTGTTTAGTGCTGCTATCTGTTGGGGTCTTTTTAAACTACGTCCACAAGGACTGGAACACAGTTTATGCTCTCATTTCCAGGATTAAACTAAATTTAAATGTATTTGCACACTCAACCACGCAGTGCATTAGCCACCGGCCACGGCCGGTCATTGTGCGGCCGCTCTTAACGTGTTAACGTTAACAGTTGTTGTTTCTCCATCTAGCAAGAATTATCTAGATGGTATTATGCTTTTCCGATTAGGACCTGTAAAATCACTAATAAATTGTCCGACAGCAAAAATGACAACGGATAAAACTATTGCAATTTTAGAAGATATATTTTCAAGACTGGGCTTACCAAAGATGATTGTAAGCGACAACGGTCCTCAGTTCACAGCCTCGACATTCAAACAGTTTTGCTCACATAACAACATTCGACACATAACTACAGCTCCGTACCACCCAAGATCAAACGGATTAGCTAAAAAAAAAAAAAAACAAAAAAAACAATACAAAACAAAAATAGTAAACACTTATTTTAAAGTCAGCTGATAAATAAAATTTACAAAGAGTAATCCAAGACATTACAGGACCTACGGATAAATACTGTACTGCAAATAGGTACCGTACTTATTAAAAAGAGGTGGAAGCCTAGTTTACCCTTGCATTGTTTTTCCACATAGGTCTTGAGCTCAGGCAAGTGTGGAATGTATCTAGCAAAGCAAGGGGTGAGCCGATACAGTATGAGAGTTGAACCGTACTGATAAAATGTACATACAGGGGTTTTTGAACAAGAGTAGTATCCTTCTTACGAATGACTGATTTTTATGGTTTTGGTCCACAACATGTATTTCAGTGTCATTTGAAAATGTTAATTTTATTTACAGTACCTATCAAAATATAAGTAAAACAATTCAATCAATAAATGAATTTATAAAAAAATCATCATTTCAATCATTTCATTTTGTACAGTTAAAGGCCTGAAAGGCACTTACCTAAATCTACCTGTGTTAGACGGGTCATACCTAAACCTGACCTTGATGTAACATTTCAGCCAATGACTCATTAACTTGTAAATATTCATTTGTAAATTCATAGTGTGTTGGCAACATTGCTTCCTTACCAGTGACAAATTCTAAATATCTAATGTGAGAAAGGGGCCAGTGGCCTCGAAATATCCAGTGTTTATTTTGTTTGTGTTTTCTTCCGTGTTCTGTAGTGAATGAAGTGGGATGCCTTCATTTCTTAAGGTAAGCCTGCTTATCACATCCTTTCTCACACCTATTTACTTATTTCGATATAGTTACCAAACCAACTTTGAACTAGTGTTATGTGTCAATTTCAGGTGGTGATTGTACAAGTGACCCTTGGCAGGGTGCTGCAAGCATTGTTGACTCTAAAGGGAATGATGATAGAATGGGTCAACGTGAAGGGGTTTGGTGAAACTCTGGAGCTGTGGTCCGAGTCTCGGCACAAGGTGTGATATACCTCATTATGAATACCTCGCAGCAAACCTGCTTGTAGTGAATTCCCATTATTGAGTTTCTATGCAAACTGGTTCAATATAATTAGAAATGGTTCAGATATACATACAGTAGAGTCCCGCAAACTCGGCACTCGATAATCCGGCAGGCTGGATTACTCGGCCATCACCTAGCTCAGAAAATTAGTGATTTTTCTAGCCAGCTCAAGTCAAATCATTCGCAACTCGTACCAAGGATTTTTTGTACTATATCTGATGACTTAATACTGACTTAATATAAATATAAATAAAGAAGGCATGTAAAAGGTTTAAAACTGTATTGTTTTTAATTTAACTCTAGTTCCCGATAACCCGGCATTTCAGAAACTCGGCACCCTTCCAGTCCACATTACGCCGAGGTTGCGGGACTCTACTGTCCTGGGTTAAAATCTTAAATGCCAAAAAGATGCATTAACACCCTAATGTAATGGGGGGAGAAAGGCCGATCTAAATAAACTAATCTCATTGAAGGTGTTTAATCAATGATTGGAAATATTGGAATTTAAAGGTTGTTTTGTTTATGGCCAAAAAATATTTAAGTTACAACAATATTTTTTAAGTTATTTATTTTCAGCTGGTCAGTCATCTTAATAGTATATTTCATCACTAGGGTCTAAAGTGACTCTTTTCGACCCGAGGTCAAGTTTTACGATCGAGGAGAAGCTGAGGTCGGAAAATAAGGGAGGGTTGAAAAGACACTTTTCGCCCGTTTGATGAACTATATTTTTGTCATTTTGCACCATTATTTAGACAAAGTGTTACAAAACTAAAATAGTTTTCATTTAAAGATAATCTTTAAAAACTACTTCTAACTTGTTTTCAATTTAATTTGCTAATGGAAACAAGCAGCTGTTTAGTAAGTGATTCAATCTATTACGATCAGGGCCGTCCATAGGGTTGGCGGCACCCGGAGCAAACCTGGTCGTGGCGCTCCCTCCCCCCCAGCAGTAATAGGCGCATTCGCATATTGTCAACTTATGTTAGTACAACTTCGGATGGCCCTGATTACGATTCGTCTATTACGATTGTGTTAGTGTACATTGTACTGGCGATATGTTGAATTATTTACAATAAGCAACAATTAACTACAATCTCTTAAACAATCGATACATACTTTCGATACATGCAATTGAATTTTGTTCACTATCAAAATTTACAACTGAGTTGAAAAAAACTGATTTTTACTCCCTAGGGGCTAAAAACGATTTTTACTCCCTAGAGAGTAAAACAAAAATGCTACTTAAGTCCTGCAATGCATGCACTAAAAAACGGCTGTTGAGACTATAAGACCCTTGAGAAAAAAGAGGCAAATTAAATGTTATTTTGTATTATTATTAGCAATGAAATCACCATCATTACTCATTCATTTTATTTAACTATGTGTATTTACTTTTTTAGGTTTTCCGCAAACTGACTGAAAACACACATGCAGCTATGTTACATTTTTACTCTCCAAATGTCCCTGAATTTGGAGTGAGGTCATTCATTGTAAGTATTTTTATTGCTTAAAATTTGATTTTGAAGTATTTACTAGGAAAATATACTAATCTAGCGGTTCTTCTTTGCATAATCCAAAGTTTTTAGGTTGGCATTATTTTTCCGTTGGTGTAGGATACCTTATATCTGAAGAAAGGTTATATTTTTAAACTATGTTTTTTTTGGGTGAGGTCCATTAATCTAGTTAGATGAGTATGTTTGTGCATCACTCACGTTGTTGAAATAAGTAAAACTTCTTTGTCATCAAACGTCCATTTCAGGTTAAAGATAAAAAATAACAGACCAATGTTTTCTATTCCCGAAAATTCACCACACCAATATTTTAACGTGTGGCGTTTTCAAGGTTACCCGAGTTTACCTGTACGCTGGGAACGCTTAACCACGACTGTGTCTTAGATATTAGATAGACGGCGGAAACTTTGGTCTGTCATTTGTATTTTTAACTAGCTGAACCCGGCAGACGTTGTCTTGCCTTTGACTATTTATAATTTAAGTACCGTAACGTTTAATTGTCTTATTGTATATGAAGTGCTTATAACTAAATTAAAATACGTACGACAACTAATGAAACACATATAGTACAAAGGATAACCGATTCTTTATTATTGCTCTTATATTAATGCCAGTGGGTAGACAATATTTTTGGTCTTTATATTCGGCTCAATCACGTCCTGGTTGAAGTTCGTTCGCTACGCTCACTCACCTTTAGGTTGCAAATTAGTTGTTGTCATAAATGTAAAAGAAATAATAGTGCTGCACCCTGTTGGTAATCCTTGTAACTTTAATGCTATTGAACATCATAGAACAGAACCAACTTGTTAAATTGAAACAGCTGTTAAGATTCATTAATTCCATTTCTCATAAGGTTAACATGGGAAACTCCAGAGCCACTGGGGCGGAGCCGATTGGACGGATCACGAAATTGATGGTGTATAAACCTATTCCATGAAATTCTACACGTATGTACCAAGTTTCGTGGCAATCGGTTCAGCGGTGTCTGAGTTTATCACTGCCAAACAAATATATATATATATACTAGCTGACCCGGCGAACTTCGTATCGCCTAAGTTATAGGTTTCCCCTAAGACAGACCGATGGAAAGAAAGTACCGTTACGTTTAATTTTCAAGATGATCTCGTTCGCATCGCTCAATCACGTCCTGGTTGAAGTTCGTTCGCTACGCTCACTCACCTTTGGGTTGGAGCTCGTTCGCTACGCTCACTCACCTGTAGGTTGGAGCTCGTTCGCTGCGCTCACTTGCCTTCAGGTTAGCTCGTTCGCTACGCTAACTCGCCTCCAGGTTGAAGTTCGTTCGCTACGCTCACTCACCTTTGGGTTGGAGCTCGTTCACTACGCTCACTCACCTTTAGGTTGGAGCTCGTTCGCTGCGCTCACTTGCCTTCAGGTTAGCTCGTTCGCTACGCTAACTCGCCTCCAGGTTGAAGTTCGTTCGCTACGCTCACTCACCTTTTGGTTGCAAATTAGCTGTTGTCATAAATGTAAAAGAAATAATAGTGCTGCACCCTGTTGGTAATCCTTGTAACTTTAATGCTATTGAACATCATAGAACAGAACCAACTTGTTTAATTGAAACAGCTGTTAAGATTCATTAATTCCATTTCTCATAAGGTTAACATGGGAAACTCCAGAGCCACTGGGGCGGAGCCCTTTTAAGAATTTCGAAACGGGAAATAGTTTACGTCCGATTCGCATACCTACAGAATTTACACACCAAATTTCATAACGATCGGTGAAGTCGTTCCGGAGGAGTTTGCAGACAAACACTGTGACACGAGAATTTTATATATTAGAAAGATATATACAAACATCCTCTTTTATTCTTATAGATGTATCTGAAATGGATATGTGGTTACAAGGACATTCTCTTTATTATAGCATAGTTGGTATTAATTTGTCTGTGTATTTCAGACGTGGCTTCATAGTTACAACAACTTATTCAGTGAGCCGTGCAAGCGTTGTGGCAACTACCTCCAAAGCTCCCTTCCTCCTACCTGTCGAGACCTGCGTACGCTGGAGCCGTACCATGAAGAGTGTAGGCCTTGATCCAACGATTTCTCAACATGAGATCTTTGTAAAGTCTTTTTTACCATTTCTTAAATATCTTTGCAGACAAATGTGTTTCAAAGTGAAAATGTGTGGGAAAAGGTCATGGGACTTATCAGCTGTGTAACCGTTGCTGTGTATGTATGATCATTATGAACTTTTATCCATAGTTATAGCCGGATAAAGTTTTTTATACGGTTTCTTATATATCTTTGCAGACAAATGTTTTTGAAAGCGAAACTGTGTTTGGATGGGACTTTTCAGATGTGTAGCCTTTATTGTGTAAACATTGTAAACTTTTATCCATTGGTTATCGTCTGAATTTTGTAAAGGAACACTGTACTCCCTAGGTTGTAAACTATGACAAAACATTAATGTTGTGTTTTGTATCTCATAGATTTTATGGTGCATCGGTTGAACAGTGAGCTTACCTTACTGAAAAAATAGTAGAAAGTAGGTCCTACAAGAAATAAAGAAAACTCTTTGTATCTCATAGATTTTATGGTGCATCGGTTGAACAGTGAGCTTACCTTACTGAAAAAATAGTAGAAAGTAGGTCCTACAAGAAATAAAGAAAACTCACGAAACAATGCAATTTGTAACTACTTATTCCTTATTAAGGTAAGAGTATTTTTATCATTGTAGGCTTGTTGTTGAAAGCCCACAACAGACGAACAAATACTAGCAGTTTCTAAATTCTGTTTCATGTTTTTATTTATTCTTTACCTGTTATTTGTATCCATAAGTTAAGCCTGCTGTTCAACCAATCCGCCATAACATCTTTAATGTCTGGATCCTTTACTAAATATTGTCATAACTGACTTATTCATTTTGAGGTTCAAACTTTATACCTGTACATAAAACTTAAATAGCCAAATATCTTCTTCTTAAACCTACTTAAGTAGAAAGTATATTGTTAGTGTAAGATATATTTGTTTGTAAGAAGACGTCAGTTGTAAAGTATTTGTCAAATAAATACAAGGTATTATACAAGGTAATTATTTTGTAATCTTTTTAAAGTCCAACTTTTACTGTATGGGAACATAAATTGGATAAGAGTTTAAAATTTATATCACACTACAGTATCATATAACTAAAATTACTAGATAAACTGTTGCTCAAAATCGAACGAAACTGCAACTAGTAATAAAAGAATAAAGAACAAAAACATAACAGCTAGACCTTAATCAAAGAGTCACTCTAAATCTAGTTAAAGATTATGTGAGTAATGTCTAATGTAACATAACATGTTGTAAGTAATGTGTAAAAAAAGAAAAACCTACTCAATTAAAAAAAAACGGTTTTTTTGTTTATCATTTGATGTTTATACACATTGTTTGTTGTTTTGTACATGGAATAAGTTATTAAAAAAGTAAGCAGTTTATTTTAATAAATTGCAAACATTTGCCCTACTAGAACTACTTAAGTAGAACCTACTTGAACTACAGAAAGTGCTCCATCAGAAGACTCTCTAAATCTACTGATCTCTTCTAAAACCCTACACTCCAAAACCAACGACAAATCGATCCATCACCCCTATCTATCCATTTTCCTAAACTAAAGTATTGTGTACAAAAGTAAAAAAGACTAATCTAACAATTATAATACTACTGTGCAACCTTGGATCACATTAAAGTATTCTAATTCTAACATTTGAAATACAACTTTTGGAAACACCATATATAAAGCTGAAAGAATCTAAAAAATTAGCCCGCCTTTATTTGCATGCTCTTTTGAGTAACCCTCAAATTGAACACATACCAATTGAAAATACTGTAAACAAATTTAGCTGAACAATCTTCAAAATATTCAGTATTTAAATTAACTTTTTCATAAGGTAGTATTTTGTAAATATGCTCAGGGATTAATACAAAGTAATTTCAAGGTGTAGGCCTTAAGTTATTTTTGAGTAGTATTTAGACCAATATTTTTTACACAAACATTGTAATATTGTGGTTTTATAATTTTTTTGAGATCTTACGATATCAATTATGTGAATTATCTGCAATACTAAGACTGCTTCCAGAGTAAACTAATGATTTTCCTCGAGCAAAGCTCGGTCCCCAGGTACTAAAAATAAAGTAAGTTGATAAAAGTGTGTCTTAAAAATACTTTTTCATAATAAACAAACTCCGTGAGTATCCCAATTTTATAATAATTCAATTTAATTTTTCATCAGTACTCTGTTTAGGAATAATATTTAACTAATTTTAAAATGTACACTTATTGTCCGCATTTCTTTCAAACTACAGGAACAGTTGTTTTTTAAAGCACAAGTTACTTAACAGTTTAAGGTAGTTTACAGTCAACTATACATGTTATCTACAGGAGTACAAGGCGCAGAGTTGATCTCTTTAGTCCACTTGTAGTTTACGAAAGCTTCCAGCCAAGATATCACTTTGAGGTCCACAACTGTTGTTACGTAGAGCCGATACTGCTCCAGCCCTGCCGAAATAAAATATTACAAACTTTAATACAATAAAAACAATTTAGTTTTTAATACTTCCAGATTAGCCAAAGGATGGTACTTAAGTTTAATTATGAAGTAGAAACTTCTGTTCACATTTATTTACAGGGGTTTTTGCATGTTTTCATAATTTTTTGAATTGAAATCTTAAAGAATCGTAGGAGGAATTATACGTAGGGTGTGTATGTACAAATATTTTCTAGTATAAAAATTGTGAATTATTTTAGGCGAGTTCAAATTTCATCACAAGGATAGAATTGAAGTAATTGTTTTATCTAGTACATCGCTAAAAAATATTTTCGTCAAGATTTATTGAAAAAGACAGTACCATCGATCATAATTTATAATAATTATCACATCTTACCTCGCTCCTTCACTGAAAAGTTCTAATCGAACTTTCATCTTATCGTGGCCCAAGATGCGATCTCGAGATGCTAAAAGTTCTTCTTTCCACAGAGCTGCAAAAGATTCAGAAATATATTGCATACCTTTAAAAAATACTTATTTTGTAACGAGTGCGCAAAATTGTTATACATACAGGGTGACAATTAAGTATTAGGACGACTTTATAACTAACTTAAAAACGAAAAGAGATGCTACAACATTATTTTGCATATCATTACTGGTAGGTAAGCTACATGTTTGTGTACATGGTGATCGGATGTCACTTATGGGGGACGGATTGAAAATCTTAAAGGTAAGCATAGGTTGATATGTACATAAAATTAAAGGTATTGTTGAACTAAAAACATTGCTACATCCCGTACCTCAAACGGACAATAAAAAATGGCAGCTGTTAAAAAATTTGTTGAATATGCCATTTTAAATCCTTGCTGCCAATTTTTACTGGAGTGTATATTCGAGTTTAAATTTGCGGCATTGTATTCTACTAATAAAGGTCTTTAATTTGATGTGCATTTCCATTGCTTCCTTTTAAGATTTTCTTTCATCTTAGGCCGTCCCCCATAGGTGACATCCGATCACCATGTACACAAAAAAGTAACTTAATATTACCAGTAATGATAAATTTAATTGTGATATCTCTTTTCGTTTTAAAGTTATAAAGTCTTCCTAAGACTTAATTGCCAACTGCATTTGTATAACAATATATGTAGGGGCATGTTATACATTACATTTTCCTTTAGATACTAAAAAGCATAAATGGGTAATCGTATGTATATCCAGGTTAGCTTGTATTATACATCGATGTATAGTAACTCGAATGTAGAGTATTATACATTGATTGGACTATACGGTTCCTCAAATTAACAAATTCAAGCCGAATTAAATCGCCTAAAAAAATCAAAACCTAAATAAAATTGTGCAAACTCACAACAATGAACAATAGGTTAAGTCGGTTATCAATGGCCAAATGGAATGACAAATATACACTTCACCAGCTGATCGATTAAGCAGTGTTGCCAACTTGTTTTCAAGCATACCCTATTACGTGCTCAATACAAGTACATTATTATTTTTTTTTTTTTTTGAAAGACTGGAGTGCGGGAAAGTAAATGGTGTGGGACAAAGTTAAATGAGTGCGGGAAAGTAAGTAAAAACAGAAATCAGCTACTTTTCGTGCTATAATCGGTGCAAGAAAGTCCACTTTGTCAAGTAACTGTAGGACAAATGATTTAAAATCTTCAAGATTATTGCATTTATTTTCCTTGCAAGTATTTTTTTTAGGACCATTAACTGGTTTTATTTTTACACTTGAGTTGAGCTCAAGTACTTATTGATCGAAACCAATTGATATAGTAAATCAATACATTCCAAATATTACTTCATACTCATCTCAAAATATTTCCCCAAAATATCTTACCTATCATTTCCTCCATTGGCATTGAACCTCCATATTCTTTGGGAAGCATTGAAGTGTCCATATTTTTCTTTGCTTCCTCCAGATTTGTAAAGATCTGAAAACGAAGATCATGTTTTGAATAATTAACTTCAGATGGGGTATTCTTGAAATTTTCATTAGACATTTGTATGGTATGAAACTTTTGATTGTACAGTAATTCAGACCATTTTATGCCAACCCCGTGGTTTGTATTCATTGCCCGTATGAAGGATGGGTACTCTGCTAGTAAAGAATACAAATGTCACTTATAAACCAGCTCGACACTTGCATCTAGTTTTGATTTTAACTGAAAGCTCTAGTAGGTGTATACAAATAACCCTTTTATGACGTTTTTAAATTAATATTTTGCTGAAAAAATAAAGACTTTAGCAATTAGAACATACAATCTCATATTCACTTTTACAATACGTAATGTAAATCGTTGTAGAAAAAGACAAATCTATCCGTCTATGTTGTAACCATAGACAAACAGAATAAAATATAGACTGTCAAAGGAAGGTTCCGGCACCCACCACTAGGAGTGCACACCGCTGCAGGTGAGGAGCGCAGGAGCCGAATGTGACCAGCAGAGCTGCAGCGGTGTGCGCCGTAACTACACGGCAAACCTAGCGGTGGACGCCAGTTTTATGCTAACCGCAGCACAGCTGACGAGGTCGGTCTATATTTATTCTATTTTTTCATGGTTGTAACTCACCTTAACACGTTTCTTAATCTTCTCAGTAATAAGTCCCATACCCCAGTCGAGAGCGTATTTAACTGAAGGGTGGACGTTGATTCCGTAAACTTCTTTGTGTCTCATTGGCAATGTTCTCTGAAAAAAGTTTGCATACAGTAACTAGGAATGCTTTTCTTGTAGCATTCTTAGTGCATACGAGATAATATTTAGGTTTCCATTTAATACATTGAGCAAATCTTAAAGTACCCGTTTAGAGGATAAATTATAAATTTGTTTAACGTTTATTAAGTATTACTAACAGGTTTTTGCTAGTCAAGTACCTCTTTTCCATTAACTTTTCCTGAATATCTGACATTATTAAATTTGAGAGACCCTTTGTATTTTCATATTTCACAGGGGTTTGTTAATAGCTTTTTAATGATAAAAAATAAAACAAACAGGACTTCTAAGATAATTAATACTATTAATCCACACTTAAAAAAAAACTGGATTTTCAAGAATAAAACCAGTGTCATTAAATCTAGATAACGTTTTAAATAGCAGAGTTGTAGATTCATAGATAAATAACTTAAGTTCACTGTTTGCACTACAGGAGTGCAAATTATTTTGTGCATTTAAGAGTAGAACTTTTAAGAGGTCGTTATGTGTCTTAAAAAAACCTATAACATATCCAGTCACGTGTTAATGATTATGTTTGTGTGTAACTGTATGTGTTAAGACTCATAACGACCTCCTATGAGTGGCGGTTTTGACGTCTCCCAGCTCATAGACACAACGTCATAGACGTCGAACTGGTAGCTAAATTGACGACTTGAGGATTACTTTAACATAAAAAAGATAGCTCAACCTCTTGTGTAGTAATGCGGAAAGTAATACTCAAAATTAAAATACAAAATATCAAAATAATTCCTGACCAAGAACATCATGAAAACTCTTTATCCACATTAATGTTAAACCTTTCTTACTTCTAGAGCCCTGGAATAAAAGAGTCAAACCATTTTCGATGTTAACCAATGAGTCAATTGAACCAAAGTTTATTTATATTAGATTTATCTTTTGTTGTTTTCTGAGTTTTTGTAGGTAAGATCTTTATGTCATGCATTCGTTCGTCATGATTTCAGTCCAGTGAGCTGAAACCATCGAAGTATATAACACATATGTACTTCGATGGCTGAAACCCTACTGGACTGAGGCTGTATTAGGACTTTGTCCTCTTCAGCCATCCATGCATTTCGCCTGTGTGGCATCTTCAGGAGTCTTCTCGTCTTCTGACATCATATAGTGACCGCGCGTGTGTAAATATGTTTGTAAATGCAGTATTATAGTTTTAGTGAAAAGTTATTAAGAAGACCCCTGAATATGGCATAGTTGCATGTTGACATAAACTTCCTAATAGAAACTCAGGCAACAAAAAAAGGCAAATCTAATACAATTCCAGTTCTTGGAACTGCTATAACAATTTCTTTTGCAATGTTTGCCCTGTGTAAACAAGAGACACAGAATTTATACATACCTCTCCGTTTTTCACGATGCGCACTGCCTCCTTTGGTGTGAACAGCGTCAGATGGGGAAATGTGACTCCAGCACCGTCAGCGAAGTGTACGAACCCTCGGACCTGCGATTCCTCATCTTCCATCACCGTCTCGTACGTGATGCCGTGGATACGACACATGTCTGCGTTGGTGAACTTGTGTGGGTCAAAAACACCTGCAGAAGGTGTGGGGGTTATTTCCACTTTTATTGTAGGCCTAACTAAATTTGTATTCTTATGTCAGATCATCAAATTGCAATGTACAGTATGTAAAACATTTTCCTACAGTTACCTGACAAAGTGGGCATATTTGCACCGATAGCACGCAAAGTAGCTAATTGCTGCACTTACTTTTGCCGCACTAATTTTTTTTGTCACACTTCTGTATTCCAACCAAACAACACAAAACAGTGTGCCCTTTATAGTACGTAATACGTGTACTCTAGAAAATAAGTTGGCAACACTAAAAGATACTGTACTACTACGATCAGCTGGTGCAGCGTTTCCCATTTCGTTCAACGCTTGGATTTATCCTAACCTAAAAACGTGTTGTATAGAGTTTGGAAGACTAAATATTTATATGCTGGATAGCGACTGTAGGAAAAACTAAATGTAAAATTAGTACAACACTAGTTACACATGTAACTATTTAGCCAAGGAACCAATGTATTGTTGTAGGTTGGTGTTGTGAATCGCTGGTTGTTATTTAAGTTTGAAATGTAAAAAAGTAAAATTTAACTCACGCGACCTTAGGATGCAGGAAAATGCAATATACATTTTTTGTCCTTAGTATTATTATTTTATTTTACCTGGTCTAGCAATGATCCAGCGACGTCCTAACTTGTCTCTTCCAGGGGCTGCAAATATGTAGCTGTAACACGATTATTTGACTTAGAAAAGAGTAATTTGATCTCTATCTTTAATTTTTTTTTTATACTTTACATAATATTCACATGGGTTTAATTAATTTCAAAATAAAATCAATGTCTTGACCAATTCTTGTTCTTTTTGAGAACACGTGCCATAATGGAACTTTGTCAGGCTTTAAACTTAAACTTTACGGTCTCAAACTAAATTTTGCGAAAGTAATTTACTTTTGCCAGAAATTAAAGTAAAAGTGTCCCTATGAATTTTCTTTTTAATGCCCTTCGAAATTCAGGAAAGACGATCATCATTTACCCCACTTTCAGGGGTATACTTTAAAAAGCATCAAGTTGACCATTGGTTAGGAAAAAGTACCGGGACAGTTACATATTATTTTAAAAAGTAATCAAGATTGAGCTACCAAACTTGGAACGAAGTCAAATCAAATCAAATCAAATCGTTTATTTGCACATTAGATTTGTATACAATAACATGTAACAAATATCATGCATCGTCAATATTTACAAACTAAAACTAAAACATACAACATGAGAATCTACATATATACACATTATAGGCTTAGAAATTCTGAGACGGAATAAACGGCATTTGAGCATAGAAAATATTTTAAGTTCCTCTTAAATAGGGACAAAGAGTCTTGGGATTTTATTGCCTGAGGCAATTTGTTAAAAAATTCGATCCCCCTGTAAAACGGACTCCTCTCAAAGGCCGCAGTTCTGTGCCTCGGATAACAGATGATGCCTCCATTTCTCGTCCGGTGGTCATGGAAATGCCCTAGATGTTGAAATTGATCCCTGTTGACAAAGGTCAAAATGAGGACCTGCTGAATGTACAACGAATGTACTGTAAGGATGCCAGAATCTTTGAACACTTCCTTGCAAGGATGGCGATGGGAGAGACCGAAAATGCGCCTCAGAATCTTTTTTTGGAGCTTAAGTATTCTTTCCAAATCAGAAGAGCTTCCCCAAACGGCAATGCCATAACGCAAAATGCTTTCGCAATATCCACGATAGACGTCCACAAGAACTTCCCTGCTACAAGTTGAACTGAGAATTCGAATGGCAAACAGAGCAGAACTGGTGCGGTTAACAACACTTTGCACGTGACCATACCATTTGATGGAGGAATCAAAAATGACACCTAGGAATTTTGTGGTCAATGAGGGATTAGTGAGCTGCGTTTCAGGACTACTTTGATTATTCTGAGACGAACCAATCAGACCAAAATTGAGACATTGTGTTTTGTCTTTGTTAAGGAGAAGACCATTGTACTCAAACCAACTATTTAAGCTCTTGATGACCGAAGTGAATCTGTTCTCTAAGCTGGTTGCATTTGGGGCCTTGATTAGAAGTGCTACATCGTCAGCGAATAAATTCATGTGACAGTCATTTCCTTCATAATGGAGATCATTGATGTACAATAGGAATAAAATAGGAGAGATAATGCATCCTTGGGGAACCCCTCGCCGAGAAAGCATGTAGGACGATGAGATCGGACCTGAGGAACTATTTATGGAAACCTTTTGATAACGGCCGGACAAGAAAGAGCGGAACCACTGCAGAGCAATGCCTCTGACACCATAATGAAAAAGTTTATCCAAGAGGATCGAATGGTCCACACAATCGAAAGCTTTGGATAAATCGCAGAAAACCCCCATCGTCTTCTGCGATTCATCCAGGGATCGCAATATCCGGTTCGTGAAGTCATAAAGAGCAGAAAGAGTGGACTTCCCTTTTTGGAAACCATATTGATGTGGACTTATGATATTAAACCTTGACAAATGACTAGAGAGACGACTAAGAACAACCTTTTCATAGATCTTTGATAATGCCGACACCAAAGCAACAGGCCGAAAGTCATTTGGCAAGTGGCTGTCATTCTTTTTTTGAAGAGGGAATATATTTGCGAATTTGAGTTTTGATGGGAATTTTCCTTGCTCTAGGGACTGATTTATCAAAATAGACACAGGGTAAGCCAACTGATGACCACAAAATTTCAAAATATTTGGAGAGATACCGTCCCACCCACATGAGTTCTTACTCTTTAGCGAGCCGATGACATTTAACACCTCGACTTCGTTGGTTGGAGCTAGAAACATTGAAGATGCCACCTGTGGTGAAAAAGAACGCAGCCTTCGCATAGATCCAGTCCCACAGGGTATCGGAGCTAGAGAAGTTGGATTCTCAATAAAAAACTTATTAAAATACTCTGTCATTAACTTTTTGTCAGAAATTTTTTCATTATTAATAAGCAAAAAATCTGTATCCCTATTTTTCCTATTCCTACCAGTCTCTTTTTTTTACAATATTCCAAACAGTTTTTGGCTTATTTTTAGTAATCAAGTGTCTAAATTCTTGTACCCACACTTTGTACTCATTAATTACTGGTCATAACATTTTAAAACATTATTTAGATTATGTGCTACCGTAAGTGGGGTAGCCCTCTAATTGACAGACAATCTTAAACGTAAGCCAATCAAGTTAAAGGTCTTTGTTGGTAAAATAAAATTCCGCAAATTTGACCTTAAAAGAACAAATGAGTCAAAAATGGCAGCTGTTCAAAGATTTCTTAATATTGAGCTAACTCTCATTATTAATTACATATTCGAGGAATTCATTCATAAAACGCATATTGCTAATGAAGCTCTTTGGTAATCCTTCATAAAACTTTTCACTACAATTAGTTGTTCAGTCAAAATAGTATTTTAATTTAAAAAATTTTCAGCTTTGATGTACAGTATATTAAAAGCATTGGGATACTAACCCTAAACTGAAGAGTGTTTCCATGTTTGGCAATAGGCAGTCCATGTTTTGAAAGGCGAAGTCGTAGGTTTGCCTGAGTAGAAGGTATCTCTCCATTGCCTCTTGAGCCATGGGCAAGCTGAACTTCTTGGCTCTCAGAAACCTCAGTAGATAACAGGGATCTGCAACGTCAAGAAGTGTCAAGATGTTAAGAGTATAGGTAAAATAACATCGATTGAACGAGTATTACTAACATTGCCGTTTCAATATGGTGGTGGAACACGGCATAACTGGGTATTTTAGTGGTTATAAAGCCTGCCTTCCAAACAGAAGGTCGCCGGTTCGACTATGATATAAGTTATACTCTGTATGACGGAACCTGTATCCTGACCCATGGTGATTGATAAACAGAATATTGATCAGAACCTTTCCTGAAGCCTCAACCTATAGTGAAAGGCAATCAGAATACTGATCAGACCCCTACTTACAACTCGACAGATAAAATAACGTGATTTTTCCTACAGTCCCGACAATGTTGGCTTCCTTGCACTGATCATAGTACAGAAAGCTGCTAATTGCTGCATTTACTTACTTTGTCACACCGTTTATACTTTGTCGCACGGCTTATACTTAACTTTGGCGCACACCAGTATTCCAACCAAACAAGACAAAACAGCGTGGTTTTATTATGAACATAATCCGTGTACGCTTAGAAATAGGTTGGCAACATTTAAAGATACTACTAATATGATCAGCTGATTGACTATTGATACTACGATTTAACCTTTCATTTCGTATTTATATTCTATTTTAGTTCAACGCTTGGTTTGAACATAGCCTAAAGTGTAGTATTTGAGTATTTGAAAGAATAATTATAAGTGGGCCTAGCATGTTTGAGAATAATGAACTCAGTGATTGTGAATATAATGTGTACATCAGAAGAAATATGTAGCAGAAACTGCATAACATGTTTTATTAAACCTGTTTCCTGAAAAATCAAGAAAGAAGTATGAACGAGCATACGAACTGTTTTCTTCTTGGTGTAAAACTAAGAAAGTTACAAAATTACTTGTTTATTCTGTTTATACTGATTATTATTGTTTATAAGTGTACTCTTGAAAAAGTAACTACGACTACAATCAACTGGTGCAGTGTATCCCATTCCGTTCAACGCTTGGGTTTAACCTAACCTAAAAACGTGTTGTATAGTGTTTGAAAGACTAAGTATGTATATGCTTTATAGTTACTGTAGGAAAAATATAATGAGTAACACGAGCGCAAATGGCCTTTGCTGCACTCGAGAAACATTCCGTACTCGCATGCGGCTCGTGCGTTAACATTTATCTCGTGTGCAGCAAAGTGCCCCTTTGCTCACTAGTTACACAAATAACTATTCTGGTAGAATTGTCTCAGTTACCTGTTCTGCAGTACTCAATCTTTGGGTTGTCCTGGACCCACTTCTTCATGTGCTGCAAAGCATTGTCTCTCGTCGCCTCGTCCTCTCTCAGCTCCTTGGCTGCTAGATCCTTGGTATCCTTACTGAGAGGACACGAGTACTCGGCTTCCTTGACCATCTGCAAAACAAAACCTAGTGTTGTACAATTGTCTTTGTTAGGAAAGTGGATGTGCAAAATATTCGTCTTGAAATCATGCAGCAAAGATTTAAATATAAACATCAAATATATTGTTCATAAACAAATTAAATAAAAATGTCCATAGTTTGGTTTGACTTATTAGTCAGATATCACCGCCTTCTGCAGAACTTCACCCAAATTATGTCTCACCAATCGGGTTTACCTATGCGACACGCTGTTGCTTAGCAAACCCCACTTTAAGCTGAAGGTAGACATACAATTAAGAAAACGAAATTCCCGCCGCAGCAGACCTGCAGACTAAGCAAATTTTAATCTGTATATTTGGATTTTAACCATATTTCAATGGACAAGACATATTTTCCCACATTTAAATAGTATTCGATTTAACGATGGGTTTGCCTAAGTAAAAAAGGCCTGTTTTACCGAACGTTAATATTATAGGATAAAATAAATTACTTTGCCAAATTTCAACCGTTATAAAATATTTGAACGACTAGTGCTTTGGCCTATGGGGACATAAAAAATGTATAGGTCCCGGGTCTAGTTCCTACCGTGCCCACCTACGGTATAGAACTACTTTCCTATGGGGGGATCCTTTCCCTCCACCACTCCAGTATAAAACATGTGGTAATTTATTCAACGCTATCCTAGAATTCCCATAGGATTAGACGACACCAACAATGTCCATGGTGATGTTTATCCATTTGTATCTAATGTTATCTACTTCTGGCTACATGCACCGTGACTTGCTATATGAACGCACTACATATTGCTTGCGCCACTTTACGACTATGAGCAAGCAGTCTCCTAACCGAACCATCAGTGACGCAACCGAGCAACTATTGCGCAACAGCACAATAGAGGCTGCCAACGGCACTTGATACACACTTCCTATCTGCAATATTTGATCAGAGTAGAGAAGTTGATTAATCTATTGATCAACGTAAGATTGCCTGTTAAGATTAAATATTCTTCATACTATATTAAACATACTTATTGATCGGATGAATAAATACGATTTAAAATGTGTTTATGTCTGTAAGCGCTTTGCGTAGATGTCTTCCACGTATTTATTTATGTGGTAAATAATGTGTAAAAGTGTAGGAAAACACAACACGAATAGAGTTTGAAGAAATACTAGGATTGCTTTCAGAGCGGTGAAAGCCAGTTGAGCGGAGAAAACTTGATTTAATATTTGGGTACCGGTAACTAAGTAAATAAAAAAAAAAAAAAACAATATACTTATGCTTGTTTTGTTGATTGAAATTGTAATAATTTACCTCTTGACTACATCTTGATGTGATTCAGATAGGCTACCTCTTGCAAAAGTAGATTAAATTACAGTAGTTGGGACTTTGATAATAACATGGAAAACGGGTATTAAAGTAAAAAAAGAGGAGGGAAATTTTACATTTAAACTCAACTGTACAAAAAAAAAAAACAGTGGACTTCATTATGACCCTTGCAATAGGTAAAAAGTATTGAAGTATAAAAAAACAATAAGTAAAAAAAAACCAGCATTTAAGTATAAAAACATGAGGGGGAAATTTGAAATTTGAAAGTCAACTGTGCATTACTGTATAAACATTAAATTTGTCTTAATTTTAACCCTTCCAATCGGTTGAATTGGTTTTAATATTGGCCTTAATAAAACATAACACGAAAAAGGTAGGCCTGTTTTAACTTTAAAACACAACCGTAAAATACTTTATTCTCAAATTAATTGAAACACTTCTAAATGACTAAAATTACCAATTGTATTTTTTTGTAAAACAAAAAACTTAAGAACTGCTAAAAATACTATTGAACAATTAAACATGACTGAAATGCAGGCATAATAATAACAAAAGTGAAAAGTAAACATCACATCAGCTTATTTATGTGAAAACATAATAATAATAGAAGGGAAGACATGCCAGAGACAATGTAGATTTGGTCTCCTATTACGTCATCCTATTTTGTCACAACGTTGGCCTTATCTAAACAACTCAAATTAATTAGCCTAATACAGAAATTTCTTTACTATTTTTAGCGTATTCTTCGTTTTTATTGGGCGTTTAAAGTATATTTTTATTTATCCACGCTGTAATAATAATTATACGTCATAAACATATTATTTTGTTTATTAGTCACGAATACTCATAAACCCCGACCTACATTCCCCACATGCCTAAATTAGATCAGTGTTCAATCTGCGTTTTATTTATTAATAAGTGTAATAACTGTAATATAATTCAACATAATATAACCTGTGATGTATTATCGGATTAAATATCGATTTCGATACGGTTCGATATATCGCTTATTAAATCCTGATTTCTAAATTGGCTGTTTCTAATCAGCTGGCAACACAAATAGGTTCCCAAGAAAGTAGTCACTGGTCCGTATCCCTCCGCTCCTTGTTTATGCTCCGCGCATTGAGAAAGTAGTTCCGTATATTTTCTCGATTTTCTGTGAATTCCGCGCCTTAAAAAAATGTTTTAACAGCATTTTCTTGTTTATTAAAATCATAGGAATGGTTTAAGAACGTTTAAAAGAAAAGTCTAGAAAGTTCAGAAATACCTTATGGGTACTCTTGTTTACATTTTTCTTGTAAACAAAAAACTGTCATATGGCTACTTTAGTCCCATAAGCCTAATGTTAAAAATTGGAAATTTTAAGTTCGTTTTAAATTGCATTAGCATTATCTAATTGAAATTTGTTTGTTTAAAAACCATCTCACCATTAGTCTAAGTAGTTTTGTTAAGTTTGGCTGAAATGCATTCAGCCGTTATTGAGTGATGTTTCTCTATTTGTTGCATTGAAGTTGATCCAAAAGAGCTACGCTCGCTTCGCTCGCTCCGCTCAAAAATATTAGAGAATTAGAAAAATTGAAGTTTTGTGAAAAATTGAAATATGTGTTTTTGAATTTTAAAAGATAATCTTAAAAAGAAAAGGGTTTTCAAAGGTAATTGGCAAAAATTATCAAAAACACATGGTGTATCCATTTTTGTATTCTGTAGACGTATATATTTAAAAGAATCTGGAAACACCGACATAATAAATATACCTTGTCAACCAAAGCTAGGTCACCAAATAATTTCAGTACTCTAGTCCCACCTATCCAGGTACTGCTTCAAAAGGGATAACTAAGAAACAGATTTTCGAATGATTGGATTGGATGCGCATAATTTCGAAGTGCTTTTCGTAGTAGGTAACACATTTCGGAACAACGCCGCACACTGCAACAACACGTGACCATCTCCATTGGTCACTGGAGCTACGCACAGTGAATGCGTCTAAATGTCTCAATCATAGACTCAATTATCCCAGATCTCAGTCCATTCCAACCACATGTATAATCTCATTACGTCATAGTTGCAAGGCAATGACGTCATTGGATAAAAAGTCCCTCGTCAGACCACCATTAGCTTGGTCTAATTATGCACGGGTCTATAATTAGGTCGTCTAGTAGTTAGAACGGGGATTCTGTCCAGGGATTAGGTTCAAATCCCAAAAATTACCAATGGAAATTTAACTATTTCCATTGTGTTATTGTGACTTAGTCGTTTGGAGTACACCATTCGTTCTAGGTTAATCGATAGAGTTGACATTATTTTAAGATCTTGAACGAAAATTTGTATGATAATATTTTTAAAGTATATGAAGATAACAAACTTTTCTTGGTGGATATACTTTTTACCAAGCAATTGAGGAAAAATACGGTAGAGGGGGTCCAGCTACAGAGTACTTTTAACATTTAATTGGAAAAAATGATTAGGCTACATGGCATATTTTCTGAGACGAGATTGGACCATTTCAAAAAAATCATTAACATGACCAATTTAATTAAAGATTTAACTAATTTGATTAAAAATAATAACTTAGGTACTTACGTTCCAGCAATCTATTTGATATCGGAAGTATATGCTACTTCAGTCCCCTAGTTTACTTTAACAACAATATTAATTCAGGTGATTAAGGTGAGACGAGCTTACTCTACTTTCGACCTTCTAATGGACCTAGACAATTTTGTAAACAGTTTCTTGACGATTAGGCGAATAATTAAATTGTTTGTAGAACATATTATTGTATGACTTAATTGCTTCCGCTTTAAAATACAATTCATCAAGTGATTCATAGAGAATATCAGCCGAGTTGCTCCATTCTAAATTTGTGAACATATTTTTGATTTATTTAGGCCTAAGCTTAAAGAGGTTTGAGATTTCAATTACATCTTATCACAGACTAATTACTAATTAAATAAAACCATAAAACTTCTTGCTAAAGAACCATACTCTATTTCAAACACTTGAATCATGCCAACATGACCATAAACAAACAATAACGGTATAACAATTGAAAACCTATTTTTGGCCTAACATATGACATCGTCCCTTAGAAGATTTTGCTTGTTTGAACAAAAGCAAACAAACAATAACAATAACAATATAATAAGAAAACATCCATTTGAACTATCATAATTTCGTTGTTTATACCAGAATTTTGAAACGCAAACAATAGTTTACCTTAGTCACAGCAAAACCTGTAATTTCAAGTAGAATAACTGAATTTAAAGTGATCGAAAATAAAGGTTAATCAAACTATTGTATTCTTAAGTTAAATCATAGACAAAAAGAAATCAAAAACGTCAGCTGTGCTGTAATTACCATAGGTTCTGGCGTACACAGCTGGGAGCGTCATGTAGTTACGGCGTACGCGCTACGTATCTACACGGCGCACTCAGCGTTGTGCGCCAGAACCTATGGTAACCATGGTAAACACAGCACAGCTGACAGTCTATATTTGATTCTTTTTGTCTATGGTTAAATGATGTCATAACCAACTACAATTTACATTGTTGAACTGTTGGTTTATAACAGTTTAGAATATCGAATTATACCAATTGTTAAATTATTTACGTAGAGTTGATTATTTATTTTCAAATACTAAAACAGATCACAATTTCTACAATCGCCACTCACAACATTCAGCCGACCTCATCTTTCCAATGGCAATACCATCCGTTGCACAATTCCCATTTCAGGAGAATGTTTATGTTGGTTTATGATGATTGCAGAATTGCTAAATCCACCTCGAATTGCATGAACAGTTCGGACCACCTCACATGTTGGGATTGCAATAGGGAATTGTCTGGGTAGACAAATATTCGTGTTGAAAAATATATAAAATTAGCAAAATAATACCTTGAGGTACCGCAAAAATTCAATTTTAATTTCGTCGATTTTAGCTGTGACACAATTTTCAGATAAAAAATCGATCTGCAAAGTATTAAATAAAATAAATAATTTTAAATTTTTAAACCATTCCAGCTTTATAAATTTTCAATTTTCGTGATAGAATCAAAATGAAATGAACTAAGATTAAAATATACTAGCCTACTGAAATTACTGTAATTATAAAATCAGCCCAGAGTTTGATAGACGGGTAAGTCTCTAGTAAGTGAAGGTTTAACAAACAAATATTTTTAAGACATAAAACACCCACTTTATTATTCAAGTACAGCTAAAAAGACGAAAACGTTGATATGTTTAAAATATTTATTTTCAACTCATATGAATACTTTAGACTGTGGGTATGTTTTTATGGCAAGTTGAAATTTTACCTACTGTAACAGAAACCCTACGATCATTATTGTTTTAAAAATCATACTAAATTGCTCTTAATTTAACAGAAAATTTAAAATGTTAAAAATTAAATTATTATTTACATGAAATAAAAATCAGTACCTATACACTAATACAGTAGACCTTAATGTCATTAATACGGATATTCACAATTTATTGTTAAGTAACATAGATTAAACATACTCCCTTGGTTAGTCGATCTATGGTATTGATATAATTGATGACTTCATGTGTATAATTTACTTATAAAGTTTTAAAATGAATAATTTTATCCCAAACAACAACAAAAATGGAATAATCATGTCACAGCCTTTACTTGTCGGTTCAAAGAGGGGTATGGTGTGCTCTAAATTTAGCTTTGGAGAACATGTTTAGCCCTCTAGTTACCGGTATATAACGAAACAGTAAAGCACAAATCACGAAATTAATCTTTAAATAGTAAAACAATATTTTGTTGACAGTAACCATTTTATCAATTATTTAAGATCGGGATGCCACTATGTGCGTATTTCAACCCAAATATGAGTGAAGGATGAGTGTAGGATGAGTGGCGCGATCTTGTAGTCTTGTTAGTGACTAGACATATTCCTTAGACCCAACTGTTAATTAATAGCCCATACAGCCAATTGCAACTAAGGGACCCACACAGTTTATTGTGGAATCCGAACGCTATTTTTGCCTTGGTATTAAACGGATTGGTCTAATTATCAGGATAGTACCATAGATAAAAGGAGTATAGACATATGTTATTTGTACATATAGACATATGTCTATACTCCTTTTATCCATGATAGTACTGCGGATAGTCGTAATACTCACTAGTGTGGACGTTAATCCACACCAGAGAGTATCGCATCCACAGTGCATGCCCATAATATCCACATTTCGTGACCTCCTATAATAGTACATAGTTGAATTACAGGACGACGCAACCGTCCCAGTCTTATATTAGTTTATTTATTTATAATTATATTACTATATTTATATTACTATTACCAACATGAACTAGACACGAAAAACGAGCTTCAAAATTGTCAATGGATTGTGAAGTCTACGTGTGCTGGTTAGTCTATAGTATTACCTTTTTGTATTACAAAAATTATTTTCTACAAGCAAAATGTACTCGAACTTAATTGTTAGATCCTTCAACATTTTCTACTTTTTTATTCAGCTACTTTGAGATGCAAAATTAAAAATAATTGATACAAATGCAAAAAGCACCGCTTAGAACTTTCTATACCTGTTATAAAGCACTAGGTCAAAATATCTAGAGTCGAGCGTCTATGACATCTGGGTATGTATTAAACTTTATTGGTCCAGTGGAGGAAACGGAAATCTCAATGGATTTGATCTAAATTAAAACGTAGAGAATTAGTAAGGTCAAACTATAATTTTATTTTTACATCAATAAATATTAAAATTGAATGAATAGTCTGAAAATAATGAATAGAGTTATAAAAAACTTCCAGATTACAATAACACATAATCAAACAAACATGTATAAATTGTTAGTTATCAGTTAGCAAACCACCATAAGCCGTGCAATACCGTGTGGTATTTGTCTGCTTCGTAAAAGACCCAAACAAAATAAAAAAGTATTTAACTACGTCATTATTTCAGTCTTTAGATGTCCGTTCTTTAAATGCCACGGCGCAAACAAGATAACCATGATTAGTAACTGAACGCAATCTTCGCGTTTCTTGGATGGAAATATTTGCGTAAATTTCAATACTCATAGCGTGTTTTAACCCCCATAATTGTTATCATTCAATAATAACATTACCTCACATGCTAGTTTCTATAACTACCCTTAAAGTAATTAATCCAATTAGTTGAAAATTAGAAAATTAATAAGTAAAAAACAAATAATACTGCAAATTGAAACATGGTTTTATGCCTTTACAAACCAGTATGTGTATCACGAGAAAATATCTTTATATTTTCATATAAGATTATGATTTAAACTAACCAATAAAATTAAACAGAGCCTTAAGACGTTTTAAAAGTGCATGACATTATTATCAGTACTCGATAATTAATTAATTGTTTGATTTTTTTCAATATGTTTGTTTTTATTATTAGTTATTATTTTTATTAGTTTATTTATTTTTGAAATTTAAATAATTCAAAAACTATCTACGTTTGGATTTGAATGGCTGGAAAATTTGAAAAAAAGGCAAAACAAATCCAACAGTTATAAACGAATAAAAAAAGTGTACGTCTTGAACTAATTGTAACAAGTCCATATACAATATGTTCCTATTAAAATACATAAGTGTCTGGTATCCTAAAGTTAACAATAGTATCTGCATGTAAAAGTCCACTTTTTGTAATTCTGAAGACGATGGTGTGTTTTTCATAGTGATCGGGGACGCGTCCAGAACAAACCAATGTATAATGAGTTTACAAAAACAACTAAAATAACCAAATAAAATGTTGTTTGATAACAGAAAGTACTATATACTTGTATGTACTCACGTTGTTGTGGCTTAAGTCCTTGGTCCAGCTGACGTGAGAGTCGCTGACAGACTGACTGACTGAGAACCGTTCTGGTAGCGCCTCTTTCTTATCCCCCTCGGCTCATAACGCATTATGGCATTGCTGCCGAAATCATGACGATTTTCACGTCAAACTATTTTCCTTTTCCGGACACATTACGGACGTGCGTGAACAAATAACAATTTTACAAAAAAATGGCGTGAAGAGTTTGATTTCATTGTTGCAATGATATTGTAAGGACTTTTGTTAATGTATAAGAGGAAATTTGTTGATTACCTATTATTATTTACGGTTTGAAAATTAATATAGTTTTTCCTATACGTAATATTATCAAGCCTATACGTAGTATTATCAAGCCTATACGTAATATTATCATAGCTACAAGCAAATAAAATAAAATCCTACTCGAAGGACCAAAGTGTAGTTTGTTATTAAAATTATGGTAAACGAATTAACCAATGGTTAACGAGTAAACGAATGGTAATGATCGAATTAAATACAGATATATAACACAAAAATGAATGTTGTGTTCAAATAGTTCAAATAATTATTGATTAATTCATTGCTGTCTACAACGTTGTCACATCCAATTTAAAGACAAAGTCGATGCAAGAATTAGATTAATTCTGGCAGTCTTTAACTACTTATGAGATACTCAATTGATTGTTCAATAATTTAAGGTTAAAATCCTGATAACATTTTTAGACTGATAATTTCCTTCAAAACACTGTTTACTGCAGTAGACTACTTATTCACAATTAAAATAATTATATATTTTTTTGTCTACTCTTCTTAGCTGCACCAGAAGCACTAGAACAAAAAATGTGTGTAGATGTGTTTGTTGGCTACATCTAGGTACTCTTGCACTTTATGGTGTTGGATTCACCGAGCTTCAATTATTTTTCATAAATCTGATACAACCATCTGAGCAGATTCAAACTCAAAAAAGCTTGGGTGTGATTCTAGTATAAAATAAATCAATTATATACAGTCTCGTTGAACATTTATGGACACTGGATTTGTAAAAACCCCAAAACGGCCTACAAACAACATGTTGAGTCTTATTCAAAATAAATTCCCTGTAACACTACACCATGTATACAACAATGCTGAAATTCACATAAGCTGATTTGGCAATAAAATAGAGAATACAGGGTTAGCAACTTATAAACTTTATATTGTCCTAACAGTGTCTCTTGGGATAACATCCTGTTCCCTGTGAAGAGATTGACGAACAAGCATACAAATTATGTTTATAATGGAAATCGTATAATAATGGTGCAGTATAATATTTATAAAATGTGTAAGAGTCTAGACCGAGTTCTGATGTTAAAACCAACATCAAAGCATAGCTGTTAAGTGGGACCTTGCCAAGTTTCACTCTTACATTTTGTTGTCATTAAGTAACAGTGGTTCTGGAAAGTTAGTGGCATTTACTTTTTAATTATAATTAGTTTCATGAACATTATGTTTGAGATAGCAATGTCTAGGTGTCTATTTTAAAGCTGAGCATGGATTCAAGATGTGTTATTCCTCGCGGTGTATTTATAGAATTTCTGACACCCCTTCGGATTGAATTTATGTACTTTCATCGCCTGTAGATTGTCCCACTGCTGAGGTGAAGACTATTTACGCGAGTTACGTACTCTACTTACCTACGACCGTTTTTAATTACTAACAATACTCATAACTTCTAACAGAGGATATGTTTCCGTTTATAACCTCTCATTTCCACTGACAGTGATGCAACGACTCATTTTACCAACCACTAATTGCAACACTCATTAACAATTAAATTGGTCTAAACAGCTGATTAGTTGAAGCTTGAAGCATTACAATTTTTACATCTTTTCTCTCAACTCTTGAACTGCATTAAACAATGTTGTTAAGTAAGTAAACAAAGCTGTTAAGTAAATCTAAACAATTAAACAACTAAACAATGGTCGTAGGTAAATTTAACTAAGAAGTGACACACTTCTGATTGTTAGGTTTATTATGTGAGAACCCTATATACCTTTAGGAATATTCATAACTCCTCCCATTTAGCTAGTCTTATTGTGTATTAATTACATAAATTGTGTGTTTTAATCTAAAAAAGCTTTACGTAATGAAGGTAAGTTTTTACTTGCGATTGAATGATGAAGATTGTGTTACCGTTCTGGTATGATTGATAGGATAGTGTTCTGTACTCTATCAGATGAACAGTGCATGATAAAATACCCTCGCCGCATCAAACCTGCAGACTAAACAAATTTCAGTTTGTGGATTTGTACTGAAATATTTCTGTAAACAAGTCATAATTTTGTGAGACCCTAGCCCATGGTCTAATGGTAGAACATTGGACTTCGGTCCCTGAGGTCCCGGGTTCAAATCCTACCAAATCACCAATGGACTTTATCTAAGTGGTAATGCCCCAACCTCTAGGTCTAGCCTGAAGTAACGTGAAAGATTATCCAAGCTAGACCCTATCGTTCTAGGACAAAATATCGTTTATAGTCAAAGACTTTGTCGTAATAGTTTAACAAACTCAAACTAAAAACTAATGCCTAGTTGTGGTTACTGACAACATCTTTTTCCGTTGTTGAGCAACACGAGGAAAAACTTCTGATAACTATAAGCACCAACCACAATTTTACCACAACCATTAGCAACCATGGGCTGACGACAGCAACCACACCGCTTGCTACTACTATGTTTACCCATTTTGATCTAGTTAACCAGGACAGTGTGGTATAGTCAATGGCGTGACCCATGATTTGGGTGCAGACTGTTGGCGACCACCAATTTAAGTTTTTTCAATACAAGGAATATTATTGAGCCATATGTTTGTGTCACTACTATCTAAATGATAATGTGATTGATAGAGCACTACTAAGATAGAGGTACTATCTAAGCCTATTTCCACGGAGCGAGCTGGTTTAGTGGTAGAGCGCGGAGCTTCGATCCCTGAGGTCCCGGGTTCACATCCCACCAATTACCAATAGATTTTATCCATGTGATAATACCGCAACCCCCTAGGACTAGCATGAAGTAATGTGTAAAACACTAGCGGGCTAGAACTAGCGTCCTTGATGTGAAGGTCGAACAAAAAAGAATAAACCTACGTCATTTTAATACTTAAACAAGAAAAACAGTGTAATAGTACTAACTGAACGATAATGACAGTGTTGTACATTCAAAGGGCGGACACTTATTTCGCCAACTGACCTAAGTCAGGTAGTCGTATATTCCTGAATTGCGCCAATTACTCCGGGGAGCCACCTGATGAATCATTAACTGGGCCGCAAGTGGCCGCCCTCTTTGACTGTATAATTGAGTAGGTTAGGTTAGGTCAGGAGGGTATGTTAATTTATGTTAGGTTAGGTTAGGTTAAGTTAGGTTAGTTTAGGTTAGGATGAAACGTAAACCCGGTTATCTCTTCTGCCGGCATCTCACCCCTACCTGACTTAGGCTTGGCGCTTAGGGACATTTTTTGGTACCCTTTTAGAGGGTTTGGCGCAATTAAGGAACTCTTTGTTGTCATTGGTATTTAGTCTTTGGCGCAATTAATGCACGACCTATTCAAACGAGAACGAGCATAGCGCACAAAACGAGAATGTCAGTGGGTTAGTAGTGGAAGTGACAGCGTAGGATGAGGATTAACACCGTCACAATAGACATTACATAACATCAAATATCAACGCCTGCGGTGACAACTGTACAACAGTACAATGGCAGGACAACCATACAACAGAACAGACAACACTATCTGACTCATACTTTCTCTGGCAGTTCCGCGTATGGCATAACTGTGCCAGTGGATCCATCGAAGTTTGACAATGTTGACCCATATGGCAATGCGATCGGTGGGTTAGTGCTTGCCTTCAAATCAAGAAGATTACTGGTTTAATTTCAAGAGGTAGTGTCGATTCTGGAGTCAGTTGTCATTCTCGATCATTGACCTCTATGACTAAGTAGACAATTGTGAGAGAAATGATTGGTGGTTCAACTTTTATTTTAAATTATAATCTAATTTGGTTTTAATTTAATTGAAAACCGGTATTGCCATTGGTATGCTGAAGTTACATACAACATTCTTCTTACTGTACTAGGTCCTATAATTTCTGAGCTTTAATACTTACTATTACAATAGGCTAAATATAAAATATTTACTCATCACAACCTATATAGTATAATTCAAAACTGCGAAAAGTGTTGTATAGAAATAAGCCTTAATAAAAAAAAAAAGCCTATTTGTGAGAATAAATGTGCAATTCCTCGGTATCATTCCATCCGTAGTCTTTGTAGAATGATGGGTAATGTTTTAAACACATGGGTTGTACGTTTAACACAAATTGGTAACATTGTTTAGTATTTTCCAATACTAAATCTCTTCTGATTCACTAGCGAAATCATCAGAGATGATTGTATTGCTTCATTGACGTTGCTTTATCAATCTTTTCAACAATCTAATGCTCTGTTGCGGTATTTTACTCACAGTTTACATCATTTCGGTCTCTCAATCATTTGCTGGCTTCGTGGTTACGCGGGTCTTCTGTCTGGGAGTCACTTGTTCGAATCCAGCCAATGATTTATAGCCACGTGATTATGGCGTTACCAGTATTTTATAATCAACCTTAAATTTTACATCCACCTCAATGCAAAAACAACTTACAAAGGATAAGTTTCAATGGGGGACTCCCTCTTCCAATTGCGATATGATAATATAACAACATAGACTTTAGACCCTGGGCTGAAAATATAACACTTTGCAAAAAATAATATTGAGAATATGACACGAAAATATTACCAATGCATTTAAAACAACATTTAAGTTAAATTATCCACTAGTGCACTAAAGACAAAATATTTTAACCCTTAGATTTTTTTCTGTAATAGTTTATGTGGATTTATGGTCTTTGGCCAGTTTTAAAAATCGGTGTAAACGACAGAAATCAGAATTTTTAATCTGCGTACTCGAATTAAGCTACGTTAATAATTATAATTATTATTATTCTTAAATTGGCTACAGTTTTAAAATGGGGA